TATGAGATTTTCCATTTGAAAATGAGAAATGACAAGGGTTATAAAATAAAATAAAAAAACGGTGACAATTGTCGATGTATTTGCTTTGACTTGAAAGATAGAAATTATTACAAATTTATAATTTTAAATTTAATTTATCATATAGTTCATGCACATTTAATAATAAAATAAACATTTTTCATAAATAACAATTGTAAGGTCAAAGTACCTATAAATTCCTTGTACTATAGTGTTTCATTTAATTTAGTTCTTGTGCCTATATTTTGTTCAATTTAGTTCTTGTACTTTAAAAAATGGTGCAATTAAGAACAATAGTTAACGGTGTTAATATTACCGTTAACTATTAACTTATGTGTTGCTGAGATCATACTACAACATCATGATATATACATATATATATATATATATATATATTCCAACTCATATATTATTTTATAAATACTTACAATTAAATATTTTGACCACCAATATATTATATTAATATGTCAAAAATAAATAATTTATTGGCAGCATGATGACATAAGTCTTCAAATCTCGGCAGCATGGTTGTAATTATTTATTTTAGACATATTAATGTAATATATTGATGATAAAAATAATTAATTTTAAATATTTATAAATCAATATATGAGTTGGAATATAAATCAAATGATTCGAAAGTGTATGAATTTTATATTAACTAGATACTCACTAGTACTAGACATAAATGCCTTGTTTAGCAATCACCGTTTAGCGATTAACGGATTGTGTTAAAGATTATCAAATAGCATATATTGTTAGCAGGCTTGACAAGTGAATTGTATTAGCAGTTTGTAAAAAAAATATGTCTGGTGAAATTAACTATTTGGTTAGCGGTTAATATGTAAAATAACTTATAATAATAATAGTAGTAGTACTACTAATAATAATAACAATAATAATAGTAATGAAAGTCGCACGGGAGCTGCACACCACATTGGTGGAAAAAGTGGGAATGGAGCCTTGAGACTTTCTCTAAAAGGAGCCTTGAAGGCTCCATAAGTTTGCCTGCCCACGTTGATGGGCAAGCATGCAGTTGGCTTATAATAGATGGACTTTGATTATTTACCGATTAAGGTCACAAAGCGGGTATATATGGACTTTCCTGTAAATCAAGAATGCAATAAAAAGATGCATACATACTTGTAAATTATTTCCGATGTTAAATAGCATAAACAAAAACAATATATTTAAGTTCTGAATCATGTTATCTTAAAATGCAATTTTTATTTAAAACCAATATTCCAACATAACAGTTTTTTGAAAGGACATTCCAAACATAACAAAAAATTTTAATAAAATGCAATTGTCCAACGCCTATAGACTTCTCATCAATTGATCAAACAAGTTGATTGGCCACAGGAGATTGGAACATAATCCAAGCCATCTCAATTGGACTATACTCCAGTTCAACGCCACACAAAAAATCCGATTCCAACATCACAAGATCTTGAACCGGGTTCATGGTAGGCTTCTCCTTAGGTGTGATGGCCCGAACCGGCAAGGGCTGCACTGCATTCCCACTAATTACAGTGGCAGGGCGGCATAACTTGAGATAAGAGCCACTCTATGGTCTGACCGGTTGTGCGGTGGCCAAGCATCTTCATGAGGTAAAAAAGCTGGTTGGCGCATGTAAGTGAAAGCCTAATTCTCCGGTCCCTACCAAACACCTTTTTGTGTCGGTCTGAAGATTTCTTGACATTCCCACTAGAACTCCTATTCGAGGCTACCATTTTTTTTATTGAGAATATTTATTATGTTGTAGAATTTAGTATTTTATTTATACACGACGAGGAGAATAAATTTGGTATATATTTATATATAAAATGGAATTTATTAAAAGTTATAAAATTTCAAATTCTTTTATAGATAATTAGTATTTTCGCCCGTGCAATGCACGGAATGAATTTTTTATAATATATTAAAAACTAGCATTGTACTCGTGCGCTGCACGGTCTACAAATTATATTTTAATTTAAAATATTATTGTAATAAAGAAAGAGATTGAATATATATAATAATAAACTATATATATAACATTGTAATCTGCAACACCAACAAAAAAATTATTGCCTTTGAAAATTAGCATTTTATTTACAAATTATTAAAAACTTCCTAATAAACAACATTAGTAGTTGAATTACATCTCTTATTAAGATCATTACAAATTAGAATTTTTAGACTTTTAGAATAGTTAAATCTAGACGCAACCACATACAATTGTCATGTACAGAGACTGATTTCTTCAATAGCAACCCAATATAAGATAACGTCGGGTATTGACTTTAATAGAAAAAGACGATATATCAAATAATACAAACTGGCATCCTTTCTTAATTTTTTTTTTATGAATCATGGAATCCTCAATCATAACATTTAATAATTTCATTAATTCAATGACCATAAGGCACATAACATTTATATGACCAATAGGTACACAATAAAGGTTGTAGTATCTAATTTTCTATTAAAAAAAACAAACAAATAATTAAGTGCCAGTATAAATAAGTATGGTCAATAATAATAAAAAAAATTGTTTCAATCACACAGAACAACAATTACAACATATATTTCACTTATTTATATACCATTCTAAAAAAGAAAAATGAAAAGAAAATATACAAAAGGGAAGTGTTTATTTCCGTGAATCATTTCCTGTGAAATATTATTTCTAAATTGGAAGAGAACACTACTCATGCTTTAACATATACTACCTTTACTCTGAGGGTCGCATAACAACCTTTGGGTGTACGCTGTACCCTTCCTCCTTACCAAAAAAAACATATACGTGTTAATTGCCGGTGAGATGAAGCCATTTCTTTCTTCATCTCTCTACGCCTTCAAACGCCAGAATTCAGTGTGTTTTTGTTCCACTTCAATACATTCCTTGCTGACTCGATATTCGTATAGAAATTGATCGAGATTTTGTTCACTCGATCTATGCTTCCTCTGATGCATTCTAAGGTATATCGTCACTGTGGCTACCTTAAAATATTTCTTCCTCATGAGCTTTATACTGGTATACTCTTAGCAAGGAAAATTCCAAATTCTCGCAACTGATTTTATGTCGAATTTAGAAAGTGAAATGCATGAGATAGATAATATAACTCTTTAAATCTGTTACAAATTTAGACTGTTCTGTTTATAATAATGCTTAAATATTTGGAAACTTAAAACGTTTTACTATGTTACATGTCATCGTGGTTTTCAGATCTATGTATGTTGCGGCGATCTCTATTCTCATTGTAGCTTCTATGTATTTGGGATTTCGGGGAAGAACCAAAAATGTAAATGAACCGTAGTTTTCTATCTTTTTATTAGTCTTGTAGATTTATCAATTTCAGTATTGATGCTAGTTTCGTTGTGGTGAGTTGATGTTGTTTGATTGTTTTCATTTTCTGAGAAGATAATCCCATAACATGTACACAGGAAAACATCAGAGGTTAAACATTAAATAATGCATAAATATTAATCAAATGGTTTGTAACCACAAATAGAGGTATATATATATATATATATATATATATATATATATATATATATATATACACACACACACACACACACACACACACACATACATATATATATATATATATATATATATATATATATATATATATATATATGTATGTATATATATATACACATACATATACATACTAGTATAGTCCCGTGCAATACACGGCTAAATATTATAAATAATTATAAAAATTATTTCCAATTGATTAAAATAAAGGAATTTGAAGTACACTAAATATATACATGAATTACAAATACATTTAAAAAACAAAACTTTGTATTCAATATTATGTAAAAAAATAGAATATTACACAGTATTAAAAAGACTTTCATGGTAAATTACATATTATAAGTACTTTTAAGTTTAATTTTAGTTCCACTATTATTATTTTGTATTTATTTATTTTTAATGAAAATAATTTTTAATTTATTTTTGAAAACACAATTAATAATATTAATACAAATATAATTTTGTCTACTATTATTTTTGTTAGCCCTAATAATAACTACTACTAATAATAATAATAATAAGCATTGTTGTTAATTTATTATTATTATTATTATTATTATTATTATTATTATTATTATTATTATTATTATTATTATTATTATTATTATAATAATTATTATTATTATTATAATTATAATAATTATTATTATTGTTATTATTATTATTATTATTATTATTATTATTATTATTATTATTATTATTATTATTATTATTATAATTATTATAATTATAATTATAATTATAATAATTATTATTATAATAATTATTATAATTATTATTATAATTATAATAATTATTATTATTGTTATTATTATTATTATTATTATTATTATTATTATTATTATTATTATTATTATTATTATTATTATTATTATTATTATTATTATTATTATTATCCGGAATGTATAGTATCATTATTGTTGTTTTTTTTTTTTTACTATTACTATCATTTTGAATTCTGATAATAATAATAATAATTATTACATTATTATTAAAAAAGGCCAAGGATTAGATGAAGACCACAGTGGTGCTCCGTCTCTAGAACTTTACTGTCGTTTTTGTTTTCCGACATCTCTCTAACTCTAAATCTAGAAATTAAATTGCAAAGACTTTTGAGTCTTTTTTAATGATTCGAAGGTTTCAAAGCACCATCGTGTTCGTCTATCAGGAGATTAGAGAGGTTAAATAGTCAAGCCACCAGTCAATGCCATTTGGCACCATCTCATTGTATCTCTTCTGTTAGATTAGTTAAAGTTTTTTGTTAAGCTTCTTTCCCTTTTCCTCTCTTGTATAAAATCAAACATCTCGTATTCTTCTTGAACATAACAGAAATTCTCTTTTTTCCCTAATCAGTTTCTACTCTCTTTTCCTCCTCTGAGTTTCGTCACATGGTATCAGAGCTACACGCAGAGGAGCTTCGATTACTCACATTCAATTTGAAGAGACGGCCATGGATGCTTGGCCACCAATCGGCAACCGTCCAATTTCGACTAACGGTGTATCAGGGAATCTAGCAAATACTCAGACAATTGGGAATGCAACAGCTCCGGTAGGTACTTCCTCCACTCCGGCGACGAGTTCGGCCACCACAGGGGTAACTTTCGATCCCCAATCCCACTCAAATCCCTATTTTTTGCACATAAATGAAAACCCTGCCCTTGAACTTGTCTCATTCCCCATGGATGGTTCAAACCACCATCCATGGGCTAGAGCCATGACCATGGCATTATCTTGCAAGAACAAGATAGCCTTCATCAATGGAGCTATCATGAAGCCTTCCACAGATGATGTAGAGAAATATCTGGCTTGGGAGAGGTGTAATAACATGGTAGTTTCCTGGTTAGTGCACATTGTCCCCTACTATTGGACGAAGTGTCCTTTGGATTGACACTGCCTCTGGGATTTGGGATGACCTAAAGAGGATATTCAGTAAGCAAGATTTATTCAGGATAGCAGAAATCAAGTGTCAAATCTATAGAACTAAACAAGAAGACAATTCCCTAAATGAATACTTCACTAGGCAGAAATTCTTATGGGATGAATTGAGCATTCTCAGACCTCAGATGAACTGTGTTTGTAGTATTAGATGTCAGTGTGGCAAGAAGATTGATGAGATGAATGAGCAGTTTGAGAAAGACAAGTTGTCCATCTTCTTGATAGGGCTACATGAAAGATACACAGGAGCAAGAAATCAAATAATGCTCATGAGGCCTTTACCAGATGTGAATGAGGCATACTCCATGATTGCACAACAGGAAAGGCAATTTGAGATGGCTGTTGGCTTTGAAAGTCAGTTACATCAGACAGGAGAAAACAACACTGCAAGAAATGTGTTTATGGCCAGAACAGATGGTGGTTTTCAACAAGGATACAAGAAGTCTTCTGCAAATGGCAAGAGACCTATATGTACATATTGTGGATACACAGGTCACACTCAAGACAAGTGTTACAAAAAACACGGCTACCCTCCTGGTTGGAAACCAAAATCAAGAAGTCAAGGTGCAATAAATCAGACTCAAGGTCCACCAGCAGTCCAACAGTCCAACACTGGTGGTACTTTCACACAGGATGACTTCAGAAATTTTATGGAATTTATACAGATGAAGAAGTCAGCTAGTACTGCCTCAGGAAAAGACTGCTTGATGAGTTCACCCATTGAGCAGCCCTCACAAGCCCTAGCTAACACAGTGTCAACAGATTTTATAAGTGAAGGTATCATCCCCTCTATCAACTCTGTTAGTTGTGATAAATTTGGTTGGATTGTGGACAGTGGTGCTACCCATCACATTGTCTGTGACTTGAAGTTGTTGAGCACTCAAGAAAGGGTTCACAATCTTCATGTAAAGTTGCCAAATGGCCAGCAGGCAGCCATCACCTACACTGGCTCAGTATATTTGTCTGATGATTTTATCTTGAATAATGTCCTATATGTGCCTGGTTTTCACTACAATCTGATCTCAGTAGGAGCCTTCATCAAGAATTCCAGCTATGCTATGAAAGTCTATTCTAATCAGTGTGTTATACAGGCTGCTACTCATGGCAAGGTGATTGGAAAAACTGAGCTGCACAATGGACTATATCACCTAGTATTTCCTGATGTAGCTACTATATGCAATTCAGTTTCTGTTAATAATAAGTGTAATTTGTGGCATGCTAGGCTAGGGCATGCCTCATATTCAAAAATACAGTTCTTGAAAGAGTTGGAACCCACTATTCAAGTCAATAAAGAGTTGTTTTGTGATTCTTGTCATTTTGCTAAACAAAAAAGAGTTCCTTTTCAATCTAGTTCCTATATTGCAGCTAATTGCTTTGATTTATTACATATGGATATATGGGGACCCTATAAAACAGCCACAATACATGGTCATCACTATTTCCTTACCATATTGGATGATCACAGCAGAGCAGTCTAGATATATCTGATGAAAGTAAAGTCTGAGGTCAGAAGCTTGGTTAGAGGATTTTGCACTCTAGTTGAAAATCAGTTTGGAACAACTATAAAGTGCATAAGGTCAGACAATGGGCTTGAGTTTAATATGATTGACTTTTACATTCAGAAGGGCATTGTACATCAGACTTCTTGTTTCCATACACCTCAGCAGAACAACAGGGTTGAGAGAAAGCATGGCCACTTGTTATCAGTTGCCAGATCCCTCAGATTTCAAGCCAATCTTCCAGAATTATTTTGGGGTGAGTGTGTTTTACATGCAGCTTACTTGATTAATAGGCTTCCCTCTGCTGCTATTAATAATCAAATTCCATACCAAGTGCTGACTAAAAGGATCCCTCAGTATCATCATTTGAAAGTATTTGGATGCCTAGCTTTTGCCACCACAGTAGGCCCCAAATCCAAGTTAGATGCCAGAGCCAGGAAATGCATCTTCCTTGGGTATGGCAACAACACAAAGGGGTATAAAATGTATGATATCTCATCAAAGGAGTTGTTCATGTCCAGAGATGTTGTTATGTATGAACAGGTCTTTCCTTTCCAACAGGACAATAATCAAGAAAGGAGATCTCATCAAATGATTCCCCCCACAATGACTAGTATTTCTGATGAGGATTCTGAAACTTCCCAACACCAAGACACTAGTATCAATGAGCAGGCTTGTGATCATTCCCCACATCAGGTTCTTGATCAGCTACCTGATGAAACAGATGTTCAGAATCAGATTAGTGGTCATTCTGACCAAGCTAACTCCAGTTTACCATATGAAAGCCTTGAGCAGCCACCTGCTATGCCAAAGGATCATCCCCAATAGGCCACCAGAAGGTCCATAAGGCAGAAACACACTCCATCCTACTTACAAAACTATGTCTGCCAAAGCTCAACTGAGAAAACCAGTCCTCACTCCTTGAATAAAGTCCTGGATTACATTAAATTGGAGACAGATTTTCAAACCTTTGTCATGAATATTACTCACCATTCTGAACCTAAATCTTAACAGGAAGCAGCTCAGCATGAATGTTGGAAGAAAGCTATGGAGGAGGAGATTAGAGCCTTAGAGCAGAATGGCACCTGGGAGCTAGTAGACCTTCCTCCTTCCAAGAAACCCATTGGATGTAGGTGGGTATACAAGATTAAACACAAAGCTGATGGCACCATTGAAAGATACAAGGCAAGGCTTGTGGCAAAGGGATACAATCAAGTTCTTGGAATTGATTATCTTGACACTTTCAGCCCAGTGGCCAAAGTGACCACCATAAGAACACTTCTAGCAGTTGCAGCAGCAAAAGGTTGGCACTTGCATCAAATGGATGTCAGTAATGCATTCCTCCATGGTGATTTGGATGAGGAAGTTTATATGCAACTACCTCCTGGCCTTTCAGGAAAAAGGAATGGTGAGGTATGCAAACTAAAAAAATCTCTATATGGCTTGAAACAATCTAGTAGGCAGTGGAACACTAAGCTAAACCTTGCATTACAAAGCATGGGATTTAGACAATCTATTCCTGACAACTCTTAGTTCACCAAAGGTGAAGGGGATTCATTTGTGGCTTTACTAGTATATGTGGATGATATACTTGTTGCTAGTACAGATTTGGGGATAATACAAGACATCAAGAACCAGCTCAATTCTAGTTTCAAAATAAAGGACTTAGGTCCCTTGAAGTATTTTCTAGGCCTGGAAGTTGCCAGGCAGAATAAAGGGATGGCTATTTGTCAAAGGAAATATGCCCTTGAATTGCTTAAGGATACAGGTTTCACAGATTGCAAACCTGTACATAGCCCTATAGTACCATCACACAAGCTCAACAAACTTGGTGGTAAACCTATTGAAGACAACACTCAGTATAGAAAAATAGTTGGGAAGCTTCTATACTTGACTATCACTAGACCTGATATTTGTTTTGCAACACAACAACTTTCTCAATTCCTTGATTGCCCCACTGATCTCCATATGCAAGCTGCTCACAGGGTACTCAGATACATCAAGGGTGCTCCTGGCCAAGGATTGCTCTTTCCAGCTGTATCTGATTTAAAGATGAAAGCTTTTTCTGACTCAGATTGGGGAGCTTGTGTTGATACAAGAAGGTCTATAATTGGTTTATGTGTTTTCATAGGAAATGCCTTAGTATCATGGAAATCAAAAAAGCAGGTGACTGTCTCCAAGTCCTCATCAGAAGCTGAGTATAGAGCACTGGTAGCTACAACATGTGAAGTCCAGTGGCTATCCTATTTACTAACTGAGTTGGGGATTGATCATAATGGTCCTACTGCTATTTATTGTGACAGCAAATCAGCTATTGCGATTGCAGAAAATCCAGTGTTCCATGAGCGAACTAAACACATCGAGCTCGATTGCCATTTGATAAGGGAGAAGCTCAATAAAGGTGTAATCAAATTGTTCCATGTTGGATCTGAATAGCAACTTGCTGACACCTTCACCAAGACACATTGCCCCAGCTCCTTCCACAGTTATATCTCCAAGCTTGGACTGTTCAATTTGTACACTCTAGCTTGCGGGGGGATATCAGGAGATTAGAGAGGTTAAATAGTCAAGCCACCAGTCAATGCCACTTGGCACCATCTCATTGTATCTCTTCTATTAGATTAGTTAGATTAGTTAAAGTTTTTTGTTAAGCTTCTTTCCCTTTTCCTCTCTTGTATAAAAGCAAACCTCTTGTATTCTTCTTGAACATAACAGAAATTCTCTTTTTTTCCTAATCAGTTTCTACTCTCTTTTCCTCCTCTGAGTTTCGTCACATCATCTTAGCTAGATCTGTGTTTCTTAGGTTAGTCTGTTACTATTTTTTTTTTCTAACTGTGATCTTGCAAACGCAGATGTTGCCGGCTAATGTACTGGGAAGAGCTCTCCATCAGATTACGAAATCCGGCGGACTCTCCGTCAGACAACCAAACGCAGTTACTGGGAAGAGCTCTCCATCAGATTACCAAATCCGGTTGAGTCTCCCGTCAGACCACCAAACGCAGTTAAGTGTCCGACCATTGGTAACCGATTTACACCTCAAAATCCAGGTCTTTAAAAAAAATCTTCTACTAATTTTAAGATTTTATTTCAGTGTGTTCAATTTAGTGTAAGATTTTAGCATGCATGCTTAAATTATATAGCAGATTTTTTATTTATATTTTTGATTTCTACTTGAATACATATAATTTTCTACAAATTTTCACCCAAAATTGTTTTTTTTTACTACCTCGTAGTATTCTGCTGCTCTAGAAATTTTAGTTTCATATGAAAAGCATACCGTCAAACTATTTAATACATGTGTGTATACAACTATACATATGTAGTAAGACCTTCACTAAGACTGTATTCTTACCGGCCCTGTAATAATTTTATCTGTCTTTCGGTTGATTTCCTAATTTTAGATGCACTTATATTGTTAAAGATGTATTTAAACAATTTGTAAAGAATCAAAGTTGACTATTTTTTCTACATACGCAATCTTTAACAACGCATAACTGAAAAGCAAGCTTCAAAATATGATTTGAAATGATGTAGTGTAATAATAATGGTGGCTGTGCATATATTCTTGGAATAATAACAGTTGTATGGGAAATTGCAAATATGAATATTAGTTGTTTTTCCGACTTATATCTGCAGCTTCAGTATTGAATACAGAACCTGAAAACATGAATTTAAGAATATGCTTAATTGGTTTTTTATTAAATGTATTATAAATTAGTCAATATCTTTTATTTATCTCATGTCTTAGTATAATAGTTTTTATAGCAGATTTGTGAATTTCCTAATAATGTGCATTTGTAAAGATTAATAATCAATCAATTTGTTCCTTGGATTTAAACCTTTTCACATCATCTGTAGTTTGATATCTGTGTTTATCATTGACTTGTTAGTATTTATTTACTAAATAGACCTTTCAAAAATTATGCTATTTTTTACCTCAACTTTACTAACTAATAAACACTTGCAAATGATGATGTTATAGTCTGATGCACTATTTTTTTTCCACTAAACAGGAGTGAAATGAAATCTGAAATATTTACTTGATTTGCTTCATAGGTAATATGTACTATTGTTCCTATAAATGTATTTAAAAGTAGTTATAGATTCACAACCACAACAACTATAATGTGTCCTCAAGCTGAAGTACCTGCAAATGAATGATTGAATCATACAAAAAGATGGTCACCACTGAAAACTGATTGCAGCAGGTTTTCCAACCCTTATTTTAAAAACAGTAGACAACAATCTATATCAAAAAGTAAAAACAGATTAATATACAAACCAAAAAAATGATTCTTGTGCCACCAGACAAAATTGTTTCATAAAACCATTCTTACTACCGTAAACTGACCCTTAGGAACATAATCTTTTGGGATTCTCTGCATATACATGTAATTTAAATCAGTACTGATGCTTTTGTATGAGATGAAGCCTTACTGTATGGTAATTTTTTTTTTCCAAAACTACCTCAGATTCGTGAAAGACAATCTCATTTCTCTTGATAGCTTCCTTCGTGTTCTGGTACATCGTAAGAACAAACCACGCCGACGTCAATCACACTCTAGATATTGAATGAAGAGATGAATGTACAGGGGATACATTCTGTTTGAGAGATATGTATTCTGTGATTAGTTGGAATCAATTTCTACTTCAACCACCAATATATGGTTGAATGCAGGGTTCACCAATGAATTCACATATTTATACAAATTTGGAAGTACTGATTTGTTGAGACTTTAAGTTGTAATAAAAAAAGGTTTTCTCGGAAATTAGTAGCCGAAATGTAAATTTAATAGTGTTTTTCACATTTAATAAGCTTTTAAATAGATATGTGTATATTTTTTGAATTTGTAAATCCCATCTATATACTTGAGAAGGCACCATTATTATTTATACTAATTTCCAACTGTTCGTATTCCCAAACGGTACATTCACAGAAGAAGGCATGTACTGCATAATAAATCCCCATTAGTTCTCCCAAAACGCAGTGTGGAACTTTTCTTATTTTTATTTATTAATAAAAAGGTTCTGCTTTATTATAATAAAGGATATATAAAGATAAAGATAAAGATTGTAATATTATCACCTTTAACTATCATCCTTAATTGCATCACTATATAAAATACATGGACTACCTTGAACAAAACAAAACACTATATAAGAATCTAATAGGTACTTTGACCCAATTGTAAATGTGTAAGAGTTCTACTACATGGACTCTCAAATTCTATTCCCTTATTTTTACTCCCTCAAGTGGTAAACCAGGATTAATTATTTTCATCATGTGGGTCTACTAAAGAGTGTGAACATGTGAGAGGAGTAAAAATTAGGAGTATACACCAAGTATTTTCCGATGTGTAATAATAGTTCATGCTCCTTCGTCTTTTGCCTAGATTCTCGCCGCCTTTGTTGGCCGGAGCGGCGACACCACCACCACTTGCTTGTGTGTCTTCGCCTCCACTTTCTCTTTCACCAACGCCTGATCCTTCTTCCCGGTCATTGTCACCTTGTTAGCGTCGAGCTCCACCTTTACATCCTCCACACCATCCCTACGCAATGAAATCAGATTAACTTAAACACAACTTGTAAAAGTAACACAATAATCGTCGTTTTAGGGCATAAACAGTTAAATTTCTGAAGAAAACAAAATATATTTGAAATACATACAAATTTTCGGAATAGATAAAACAGAGGATGATGAAAACTTGAAAAGCATATAAGAAAAAGAGCATAACCGTGAATATTCCCTTCTCCAATGGACAAAAAAAGCAATAGCAAACATAGAATCTAACAACGAAGAAGATAATAAAACAGCGGAGACATTTTTACCATCACAGCCTCGAATGGTTTTGACGATTTTGAAAAAAAAAAAATAGGAAACTGAGTGACAATGGAAATTGGAGGCGTTTATGTATTTGTAGAACCACCGCCGGGGGGCACGGTGGTTGTGCGTGTGAGAAAGTGGACTGCGTGATGAATTTGAGTTTTTTGCACTTTTGGTCCCACGATTATAGTGGTACTATCAGAATTGATCCACGACTTTCAAATCTTGCAATTTAGATCCACGACTATTGTTTTTTTAGCAGCAATGGTCCTTCCGGTGTATTTTCCGTCAATTTCTCACCGGAGAAAAAATAACCCCTTTCAAGCAAGGTTAAAAATGACATTTCCATTCTTTGGAGATATTTCTCTCTGACTTTTTCGCATATTTCCAGATCTTTCAATCCATTCCTCCTTATCTGATCTCACCAGATCTTCACTCCATTGCCATTCCATCGATTGCCATCTTCAACGCCATCCATTGCCATCAATCTTCATCTTCTTCAAAACTTCAATTTTTATCTTCTTCATACTGCAATACTACATGCTTCTAAACTTGTCCAAAACACCAAAATGAAAATTTGCTTGCTATGGTTCATTAGCACAAATGATTAATCACAGCTCATCGAATCAAACTTCGAAATCTAATTTGTGTCAATTAGTTAGTAAAAATAAAACAAAAATAAAACAAAATATAAGATTAGGAGGAATAAGAGGAATGTATGTCTACACATGATTTGAAGGAATCAACGAATGTCTACTGTAATCTCAAGAATCAAAAGAATAAACAAAAAAGAATTGAACAAATTCAAATGAAGCAACGTAAGATGGGAATTGCTGGCGTCGTCGTCGACTCTATCTTCAAATCATCATTCTCCCCCGACGTTAGGTTGAGATTCAAATTTAGTCCAAATCCAAAAATTCTCTTGCTACTAGGCATCCTCTTTAATACCAGAACTGCCATCGCCATCGCCGGCGGCGGCGGCTTATCAAACGCTCCCTTCATCATGGCCGCCCGGTGTCTCCTCATGTGCCCTCCCAATGGCAAACTCAAGCCCGCATATGGAGCAACGGTGCATCTTGGACTTCTCCGGCGAACTCCTCTTGCTCTCCGGCTACCGGAGCCACCAGCTTCGGCTTCTTGTGGCTCGCCGGGTGGGCGCTTGAAAGGGGTTATTTTTTCACCTCGCTTGAAACTTGAAAGATCTGAAAATATGCCAAAAAGTCGGAGAGAAATATCTTCAAGGAAATGTCATTTTTAACCTTGCTTGAAAGGGGTTATTTTTTCTCCGGTGAGAAATTGACGGAAAATGCACCGGAAGGACTATTGCTGCAAAAAAAGCAATAGTCGTGGACTTAAATTGCAAGGTTTAAAAGTCGTGGATCAATTCTGATAGTACCACTATAGTTGTGGGACTAAAAATGCAAAAAACTCTGATGAATTGGCTAAAAATATACGAATTAATTTTAATTTTTATTATTTTGCCACATTGGAGTATAGATTCAAGAAGATGCTTTTGTTCCGAAGGAGTGGTGGGTGGATGAAACATCTTCTTCTTCTTTTTTTTTTTTTTTTTTTTTTTTTGTTATTATACAAAAAATGAGATATATTTATT